ACTAATTCACATAAGGACCAAAACTGAAAAAGTGAAGAAAAATTAAATTCTCGACAGGAGGAGAGAAGAAAGTATTTTTTAAATACATCCAGATGGCATTTATTATTTTAACTGTTACAGAAGGAAGATTAATAGCAACTTGTACCCACATTATTGGAAGAACACACATAAGAAGGATCACTTGGCATTCCTTCCTCTCCCATTTTAACCCAAATTGCCAGCTGTGATGATCATTTCAGATGAAGACATCTGTTCGTCCACCAAAGTCTGGTATGACAGACCTCAATTCTCTTATAACCTATTACATAAAAATATGAGCTTTCATAAAGTTCAACACATCTAATTGATTCACAGAAGCCAGAGAAAAATAGTATAAAAAATGTTTAGGCTTTGAAGTCCATCCTGCAGACAAAGAAACATTGTCTTTGCCTGTCTTTCCCAAATGATGTTCTTCAATTGACTTTGAAGATGTCAGGCCATGATTGCAACCTCCAACTCCAATGAGGCTTTTTCATTCTATCAAGGCACTGGAATCTCTTCTAATATGCAGCCTAATATAAATTTAGGATCATATATTTAAAATGGGCATGGACAGTGCTTATTTTAATTGCTGAGACTTAACAGACTAATCTCAGTCTAAGCTATATTCTCCCCATGCCTATTAAAATAAGGTTGTTTCTTTTAAAAAGAAAGCCTATAACGTCTTAGAAATTTGTCATGTTAAATTCAATAGCACACCCACACACACCAGGTGGCAACAAACTGCTTGACAAATAGCATGGTGAACCTTGGCAAACTTGGATAACAGCATTTGTCTGATAGGATTTGAGCTGAGAGATGAAAATCACAGAGCTGAGATTTCAACCAACATATTAAAATTACTCTTGTCACTTTTCCATACATCTCCATAGTAGAAAAGAAATAATTTTCTGTAGAGCCACTGTATATACTAATTTTAAACATTTTTGCAGAGTATTTTGATGATTCTTCAACCCCTTCACCCCTCATACTATTCCAGAACAGCTAAAAGGATAATGTGTAAAGTTAAATCCAGTTCCTTGATGATTCATTATTTTGAATCAGATGTGGAGACTGAAAAATGTTGAGTGGCTTTTCTGAGACATCACATTAATGGTGTCTTGAGCCGCAATTATGACAGTTAGTGACTTTAGGACATACCCCTGTGCTCCTGGCTAAGTGAATGGAGATTCTTCCCTCCCACAATACTGGTTTCAAACATCACCCTGATCTTTTCCTATCACTCCATGTCCAATATTCCTGACTTCACTCTAGTAAGTTGGCACAAAGAATTCTGGATGATGGCTGGAAATTGTAGATAACATGCTCAGACTGTTTCCCATTCTTCAAACCTTTCCAGAAACAGGCAAATACTTGAACCATTGCTATTTCATATTCCTTTCCCTGCAGCCCCTAATTTTTTCAACAAAAATAGTGTCAATAAATTCTTCACCAGGCTCAGCTTTCGCACTGAGTCAGTACTTCTGCAATTCTGTACGTCTTTCCAGGACCAGATGGCACTTTGAGGAAGAGTGCCTCGTCACAAGCACTTGTGCCATGTATCTCAAACTCAGCCACTTCCTGCTTGTGCACCTCTTCATGTAATTACTGCACAAAATTAATTATCTTTTTAAATTTCAACATGATCTTGTTGCATTTGGCAGTCAGGAGATGAAAGTAGCCACCTTGAAGAGAAACAGGTCAAGAGAATTCACAAACCTGTGTGAATTGTTATCGACACCATAAAGGGAATTTAAACATAAAAAGCCTAATGCAATAACCTACAGAAGCAAATTATAAACTGCATCTGGATCAGATTTGCTTTGTATTCAGTTGCTTGGGATTTTTATGCTCTATCTCCTCACTCATCTTCCATCTCAGGGCTAGTCATGTACAGTGGAAGACTAAGGTGACCAAAGCTACTGCCCAGAGAGGGGAAACAATGTACTATTTTTAGCTCAAATCCTCACGAAAACCCATTGCTATCAAGTGATTAGTATGCCACTTAAAGTCTGAAATTAGTCTTATTTTCTCATCAACTCCTTGCTGACCAAGATACTTGACTATTATTCTTTAAATTAATGTTCTTTAAAGGTTCACATAACCGTTTCATTTTTTAAAAATCCTCACTTACACAGATATATTTCTATAGGTCCTATAATGTGACATCTATATATATATGCATCTAAATTTTAAATTAAAGAGCAACAGGAATCAGAATGAAAGAGTTGATAGAAATGTCACATTGACAGACAGTCTTCAGATGAAAATTCTCTGGTAACACCTTTTTGTCAATATTACAAGAGTCCTAAAATAGTTGCACAAGTCACTGTTGATGTAATGCAAAAAGGGTTCCCTCCTGATGTCTCACCCAGCTTTCACTGCCTCCAAGCCAGCAATGTCATGGGCTCGCCTGAGATGGCAGTTTTGCTAATGCAGTAAAGGTGTGCCAGGTTACAAAGATGCTACAAGGATCCATGTTAAAACTGATGGTTGCTCAACATTTCTATGGCATCTGTTATATGGAGTCTCCTGCTAAACACATGGTATTCCTGATGACTGCACGGTGAGCCAGAGATACTAGGAGTTTTTACAGAGTTTGAGTTCAGAGTTAGAGAACAGAATTAATGAAGTCTACTGGATTGTACCAACTCCTGTAGCATCCTGTTCAAGCAACTCAATCTCATGCAACACCTCAGCTCTTTAATTTTGAGGAGAGACTCCTACTGACTAGGCTAATATTGCAAAAAAGGATGGCACAGACAACCCCCTCTTTCGATAAGCACAAAGCTCTAAGTGGAAAGAACTGTATTTCCCATCTGGAATTACTTGTAAGTTTTTTTCAAAAAAAAAAAGCAAAAAGCAGATGAAGGGGAAACAGGAAGAAAACAGAGAACTGACTGATACCATTAACAGTTGCTTTGAAATCACTTAGTACTGACAGGAACTTACTCAAGAGACAATGAGTAAAGAAAAGCAACTATGGCTCTGTGTATCACCTGTGTCCCTACTTCGAGTAAGTCAGAAAAAACTACAACTGAGCCACCTAGCTGTGCAAATCTCTTCAAGTTTTTTCCACTTCCCTTCCCCTCCATCTACATTTGGCATGCAAATCTCCTACTCAGAACTGGCCCAAGCTCTCATTCATCAAAACGAGAAATACACACAATTTGCAATAATTCAAATCAAGACATTACCAGGATAATGGAACTATTGAGCCTGGCCCAACATTTAGAAAATAAACTGAAAAGTAGACAAAGCCTTACAAGATAATACTTTGAGATTCTGGTCATCCACTGAGAAAAGTGCCTAAAAGGTACCTTCCCAGGGAAATGTAAGCACCCCTTTTAGGCGAACACGTCCTCTCCTGTAGTGCTACTAATATCCACAAACCTCCATTTGTTGTTTGCTCACCCAGCAAGGTCCAATGCACGTAAGTTCCTCTGCTCCTGCCAGCCGTGGTCCTAGAGCAGTTCAAGAGTTGCTGCTGACCATATAATTAAAGCTCCTCACATCACGGCATGTTCTCCCTGTGACAGGATCCGCTCCAATTGAATGTCAGAGTATGACCAGGGTCTCCATCACAGTCATCTCTCAAAGACAGTGAAACTCCCTTTTGTAGCCCAGGGATGACAGCAAACAGCCTGGTCGCTGGAAACCCTCATTCTTACCTCCTCATCTGTGCAGTGATCAGCCCTCCTGGGACAGCACCCTAACCCTGAGTTTGCAGGATAGTCTGAGTTCTTCTTCAACCTCTTCCTGAAGTTAAGCTTTGCTTAAAAAATGTGACTGTTCACCAGGTAAGAGAAAGAATGACCAGATACCCATCTGGGAGATTCAGGTAGCAAGATTCTAAGGTAATGATTGTTTAATAATGAAGGAAAGCAGCTTCAATAGCAGTGGCTGTCAAGTCCCCACACCTGAATTTGCTACAGCATCTCCTTGGAATACCAACTATAAATATCCAGGGACCACGTCTACACATGCCATCAACATTTACTTAAAATGCTGACTTCTGTTAACCATATCTGAGATGTCTAATGCAGAAGTGACAGAATACCTAACTTAGGCTGTGAACCCCGTGGTTAAAAACACACACCTAAAGGAAAGGCAGCATAATGACACTGAAGTCTCACTTGTACATGCAGTACAAGGTAGGTCTCATTTCCAAAGAGACTTGTGAACAATCTGGTAAAACCTTCAAATTTGTCTCATCAGACCTTTTGGAAACTGAGTTAGGTTTCCAAGTAAAATACACGTTTTGGGAAGGGGAAAAAAAATAATTACCTGAGCCTACTAATTCCTCAATGGACTAAAAGCAAATAAATGCCTGTCATAGTAAAACACTGCTTAGAGTGATTACAGATGGATAGCCTGGATATCGTGATAAGACAACAGAGAGCAGGGGAAAACACGCAGCAGAAATCAAGGTTGGAAAGAACGGCACAGCTGATAGCCCGGTCCCATCTTCATTCTCACACCTGCACGCCCGTGCTGTTTTCCAGCTTTCACTGAAGCTGCCCCACACATTTATTTCCCTCTGCAGGAGCTGTGATTCCCCCTGGAAGCGCAACTCCCGGCCCCGGTGCTGCGGAGCGGCCGAGATGCCGCCGAGGGAGATGCGCGACGGCGCGTACGAGGCGAAGCCCGTCGGGCACCGCCGGTGCGGGGACCGGGCTGGTGCGGGGGGCAGGCCCCTCG